CGTAACTTTATATACACGACTTCAGATATTGACCCACATGCTTTACCCATTACATCTATTCTCAAACGAAGAGATGGTGCTAGTAAGGCAGACTTCCACGCAGTGGTCCATCCTCTACGCGACCATCGCGAAGGATCACAAGTTTACGCCCGTGGCGGAGGTCCAGAGGTTTAATCCACTCCCAACGTCCCTCTTTGACTTGACGCTGCTCGGTTGCGTACGCGATATTTACTTGCTACGCAGGTCTTAGGCAGGTAGCCAAGAAATGATCTGCCGGTCGAAGCACGCATCAAGAAGCTAGTCTTTCACCCACGGGAACGGCTCAGTGACTGCACTGCGGCCTTGCATGTGGTCGGTGTTGAATCTGTTGTCGCGTTTTTGAGGCGGAGTCCACGGTTGCGTCGCGAAGGATCTGGCGCTAACGCAGCGAGGACTGGAAAATCCTAAGCACGGGGTAATGACCCCTATAGGACGCATGTCCGCTTGGTTCAATCAGCTTTAGCCGGTATAGCATAGACAAGTCGACGCCCTTCGTGTGCGCGGTCGCGGACCCGAGTTAGACGGCCGATTTGTCAGGCCAGGTTGTGTGAATGAACATGTTCGACGGGTGTATGATCTCCGTAGTCTGCACTTTCAACAACTTGTTACCAGTTGGTGTAACCGGGAGAGATGTACGGGTATGGCCGGGCCAGATCCTCGACAGGCCAACAAAGCAGTTGCAATATCGGTCTAGGCCATGGTCTCCGACGTATGCTGTCCTTGACAACGCTGTTCTTGTACCAATCGTCTTGAACTCTGCAAAGGTGAACAGAGTAGCCTCCACGATGTAGTAGAATACATGGGAAAGGCCTTGTCTACTGATGGCTGCTGAGCTCTCAAAGTACACTAGGGACTACGTTTCCGTTACAAGTTTGCCAGCCTGCATCTAGGATTAGTGTGACATGCCTACATAGGGTTTTAGACATAGAAATTGCGATGAGATGAGACACAGACGTCCCTTCTTTGGTAGCATCCCTTCGACTTCGTGTGCATGCAAGCAGTGTTTTATCGCAGCCCTTAAAGGACGGATTCTCTTCGCTCATCTTCCACAGACCGCCCTTGGTAAGATCCGGGATCTTTCTGATCGATGAGTTAAGCGTATCGCATTCGTTTATGTATCCACGTTGCGAATGATTGACGAGATGCCTCGGCAGGGTTGACGGTGTAGGTATTGCCGAGAGCCCATTTCGGATCCTCACTATTGGACGAGCACGCTGAGGAGCTCGCAATAGCGGGTTGATGTGACTTCGTTGCTTTCGACGCGGCATTTGATCTTGTCAGACACACGAACAGAGGCCTCGACGAGAGTGATAAACCCTCATGACCTAGAAGCCAGGATGGCTTCAGGCCGTGCGGCATTTATAGGTGATCAGCGTGATGTCTAGAGGCTGACGGTATCCCAGGACATAACACAGGCGCTTGCAACTCTAATACGAATTGATGTATGTGATGATACACAACAATTGCGAAAGCTCATTGATTGAAGCAGGACCCATTCTTGAAAGCAAACGGCAAGAGTTGGAGGGCCCCGTGGTGACTAAGCCCCGCGCCAACCAATCCTAGAAAGGAAGCCCCACCATGGCTGCCTCCAGCTCCCAAGGTCTCTCTCCATTTTGACTATTCTCTACCTTCTTTATTCATCAGCTCCTGATTTTCAAAAAGATCGCAAGATTGGAGTCCCTAGAAAATAATACGACGAAATGGGGGATGTGAAGATGGCGTATTCTACCTACGTAAAGACAGTCGGAGACATCGCCAAGTCTAACGCGGCAGCAGAACGCCAACGAGAACTTGAAAGTCATCTCTGCTTGAGCCACACTTTGTCAAGTGGGAGTTTTCAATTTTGAGTGTCGTAAGCGCTCTTCCGAGACCCATGCTCATTAGTGCAGCCTTCTTTTATCAGTGCCCGTGTATTTGTAAGCACTGTGGACGCCTTACAGGAGTATTCCCACGAGTTTCTACTCGATCCTATAACTGCGGGAAACCTATATAAGTGCCTTCAAAAGCTATTAGTAGAAAAACGATGGCACGAAGAACGGATCCAAGGGATGATGAGTGGAAAAATGTCCAAGATGCGAAGAAGAGGAAGCAGATACAGGACCGATTGGCACAACGTGCACGCCGTATGTGTGGACCATCGCGCATGCATCATTTTATACTCATATAATGTAGGGCAGCGACTACGTCAAGCTCAAAACGAAACCAGCATATCAACATCGCGATTGCCTCAAACCCAACGCCCGGAATCCTCCACGAATGATACATCATCTGAGATCGCAATTAGATCCAGTCCAGACGATATCGCGCATCTCAATACGTCGAGATCACCCTGCCCACATTTCCAGAACGTAGAAGTACATTCTAGCGCACTAGAGATTGATTTAACGTGCAACCCCTACCCCCAAACTTGCTCAATACCTTCCCCACTAGCCCAGACCATGATCCCCTTGACCGTCTTTGCTGCACTCTATGCAAACGGCGACATCCAAGGCATTTCCTGCGCTACTACCTACTCCTCACGGACTCCCATGCCGAAGCCGCATATTCCATTACCTCTGCATCCAACAGAGCTGCAAATGATGATTGTACATCCGCGGTGGATTGACCGGCTCCCATTTCCGCGAATGAGGGATAGTTTGATAAAGCTGATAGGTGTGGTGGACGAGGAAGAGCTGTGCAAGGACTTGTTTACTATGCCGAGTTGGGCCATTGAGCCGGGATACGCATCCTGGGATCCTAGGGCCTGGAAGATGGAAAGGGAGTGGGAAATGAAATGGGGGTGGTTAATGATATGAGGGTATGGGTTACTGATGAGAAAATGCTTTGTTACACAGCCAATGAACCTAAGAGATCAAGAGAATCTCGCATTTATTTTACAGAGGCAGTCTTACTTCCACCGCAGTAGGTACCTGAGATATTACGCGGGTTCCATCGTTTGAGCTTGCGGTGTCGCTCAGCCGTCAACCTTCCTTCCTTCCCCTCCTTCAAATCGATGCTTCCCAATTTCCAACACGTCAATCTTATCACCCACCGCGACGGCTCCTGTATCCAATGGCGTGACTTGCATACCCAGACACGCATTCTTAGACCCCTCATCGATAACCCTGTAACTCCTCAACGTAGTCAGAGGCTCGTTCTTATCGGCTACAGCAGTTTTTGGGTCGACGTTAGGCAACTTGCACCTGGTCGTCCGACACGAGATGTGCAGGTTCATGGAGGATGTGGAATCAGATGAAGTAATTTGTGCCTGCTTCCAGTCGTCTTCGGCAAAGGCAGGAGGTCCAGTGATGTAAATGTTTGCGCGGAATCGCAGCGCGTCGAGGAGGGTAAGATGCCTTTGCCAGAGTTCTGGAAGTTCGGAAGAGGGATTGGGGAGCTTGGATGCTACGTCGTGGACCGAAGCGAGATTCAAAATATGGATCGGGTACTGTAGTACTATTAATCATAATGCCGTAGAAGGTCAGGACAGAATCTCCAAGATTCAGGCGCCTGGAACGGCAACAGCTGAGATCAAAGAATAGTAAGACATGACTGAAAAAATCCATACGTACCGAATCGTGCATTCCAATGACCGTCTCAAATCCAACATCCTCCTTTTTGGGCGCGCATTTGTGTACTTCCCGATACGCATTCGTGTCAATTCTGAAGAGCGCAATTGGATTTGCTGCACCAAGGGTATATCTCAACTTCTCGAAGACTTCGCGATCAATCTCCGAGCTAACATTGAGTGCAGTAGGGCTGTCTTTCCAGATACGCAAAACTTCGCTCCGATATCCCTTGCTCTTGATCCTCTCCGGCGAAGGGTTGAAAGGTACTCTGAACTCCAGCATCGGCTCCGATTTTCGACTCAATCTTGCCAAGATGATTTTTCCATAGTTGATCAGACCCTCGATCGTGAAGTCGGTGTCGGGAGAAAAGGGGAAACGAATGACCAAGCATCCCTCACTTTTGACCCATTCTCCGTCTTCTTTGTAGCCTCTTGCGGAAGGATCCGGAACCCAGATCTCAGTGTCGACTTTAGCAAGGCGAGGGAATTTCCTTTGGGTCATAAAGTGCCATTCACTGGTCACCTTGCCGTCTAGCGTGGGCAAGCTCGTGACTTGCTGGGCGAGGGTGAACTGGCGATCATATTTCAGTCCTGTGCGATCGATGTCGCTCTTGCTCAACTCGACGGGTGCACCTGACTTCAGGGGGTAGACGAAGAGTGCCTTGACCGTCCATGGCTTCTCTGGAGTGGGGTCACCGCCCTTGGCATATCTCTTAGAATACTGATCCTCCAGGTTACTGCGTCCTTGGAGCCCGAGTTTCCTGCAACCGGCTGGCGGAGGTAGTGGCTTTGGTGTTTTGAAGGCAGCGAGAACAAGCAAAAAGACCAGAGGGGCGATACAAGATGCCGTCGTAAGGAGGACTGCCTGGAGTGTTATGTTGATGCCAGCTTCTTTGAGCATACCATTGGCAGCAAGTACGAAGTTTTCGACATTTTCCGCCATGCTGGTGTAGACGTTCACACGCTACTAGGGAGAGGAGTGTGGCGTGTGGTCAAAGGAGAGATCTAGAAGCTCGAAGATGCGACTCTTATCGTGAAAACATGCCAAGGTATAAGCCCAAGCAATATCGTCGGCGCTAGAACACACAAGGCAGGTGTGCTTGAACGAGTGAAAGACCAGATCACCCAAAACGCGTCTCTCCTGGGGCAGTATGTTTGTCGCGAGAAGGAAGCAAGGCATGTGGAAGTGAGGAGAGGGTGCGAGTCATGATAAACCGCGGCCCGCATTTGCTCTCGACAAAGTCTCCCGAACACCCACCATACGCACCTTCTACCTACACGAAGGCTTTCTCGACCCCATCGCGCACAGGGCAAGCAGAATAACGCGAAACGTCATGCACGTCAACGCGAGATCACGAGACTACCGCACCACCATCGCAATCCGCTGAGGCTCGACCGCAAGCCACGACACACCATGGCCAGTGAAGAAGCACCCCAGCTGTCGCCCTCGTCGCGTAGGCAATTGCTCCTCTCGCGCAGATGGCATAGATAACTGACACTATCACAGACAGGCTGCCCACCGTCTCGGCATCCCAAGCCCTCCAAAGCCTCCATGCGCGCGGAGCCCGCACTGTATCGACGGGCCTGGCACAGCTCGACCAGGTCCTCTCACCGCCGAGCCTACCGGGCCACCATGTCTCGGGCGGATACATACGCGGCAAGGTGACGGAGATCTTCGGCCCGTCCGGAGTCGGCAAGACAGCATTTGGGTAATTGTGCCTGCGTCACAGCTTCACAAGAGACGGCGGCTGAAGGGTTCAAGGATACAGGCTGCAGTCTCTGCCCTGCGCGAGGGCCAGCGAGTGATATGGATCGGTATGTATATGTCCACAACTGCGGACCAGGGCTAATTGATTGCTTGCAGACGCTGCCTGTGCGCCTTTGGTCAAGCATCGCGTCGACGACATGCTCACTGCGCAACCCGATGCGCCCGCTATCTCTCGAGATGAACTGCGTGCTCATTTCCACTACTTGCCCATGCCGACGCTTGCCCATTTCCTGGCGCTGTTCATGCACGCGCCCGCTGCCTTTCCTCCGCACGGCACCAGCCTGGTCGTCGTAGACTCTCTTGCAACCCTCGTCGATAACGCATACCCCCGCAATGTCGACGACCGCCTACCCAAAAACAAGACAGATCAGGCACGATGGGCTGCGGGACGTCGATATACCGTCATCAACGAGCTGATCGCCACACTTACGCGCTTCGCTGCACTGCACGACATCGCCCTACTAGTGACGAGCCAGACCATTACACGCATCCGTGGCGCTTCACGCGCATTGTTGGTACCGGCAATATCAGGGATCGAATGGGAGAATGGCGTTTCTACTCGTCTGGTTCTCTTCAGAGACTGGCCCCGACACGCCAAGGCCAAGAGCAAGGTACAAGCCGACAGCTTGCAGAAAGCGCGATTTGCTGGCTTGGTCAAGGCGAATGGTGTAGCTCTCGCGGAAGAAGGCAGTGTGGGCAACGTGGTATCCTTCACCATTGACCATGTGCGTCGATATACTACCTGCAGAGCGTTCATCTACCACGATGCGCTCCAACATCCTGTGCGATGAGCTCCCGCTGACGCTATACAGCACGGTCTTTGCGACATGAATGTAGCAGCCGACGATATTGCAACCCCTCTGTTCGTCCCAACAGAAGCCAGACCGCCTAAAAGATCCTTCGCCGAGATCGACGAGGACGTGGCTCGAGAACCAAATTCTGATGAGCTCTATGGCTGGATAGAAGACGATGAAGTCGCCACTGAGGGGTTGTTGATGGATGAAGCAGCCGTCAACGAGAACGACGCTGTGGGACCTCGCCTAGATGTTGTCGCAGAGGGCCATAAGAAGAAGGTAACACGGACATCTACGCTTTGATTGTAGGGGCACCAGTCCACCCTACACCTCTGCCACAGTCAAGACCCGCCAAGTTATTGCTCTGTCGCGACGCGCGTTGCTCGTCAGACGTGTTCTGCTTACATCTGGGGTAAGCTCGTATGTATCTCCCTTCTCTTCATATGCAAGGTCTAAAAACTGGCAAATCTACCAGTTAGAACGTAGATCTCGCATTTCCACCGATGATACAGGCCTCCGGCCCGCGGGAATGGGTCTCGCTATTCAGCCGTGTGGGGTCATACAGTGCACCCCGGAATGAACACCCACACCTTGTCTCCGCACCAACCCGCATGCTCGCCTGCATTCGAAGCGCTCTGACATCAGCACTGAGATGCGTCTCCGCGCGCTACGGTCAAACACTCTCGTTTCCGCGTAATCCAGCTCGGGCATGTACGTATTCTTCCGGCGGTAGATTTGCTTCGCATCCGTCCTCCACTTATACAAATCCGGACACAGAGCCTATGGGTGTCGTCCCCAGGCTAGCGGTATCCACGAAAAGCAACAAAAAGCAAATGCACAACACAAGCCTCATCAGCCTTTACACGTGCATGCATCACCCCGGAACTCCGGTGCTCACAGGGATCGGGGAAGCGCCCGCAAACCCAAAGCCCTGGGTTTCTCACCGGCAAAAGTCGTGCTTCTTTTGGATGATGATGGCTTGAGGCTTCGCGAGTCCGGGGTCAGCGGGGTTGGTGTGTCGCCTGGGCGTGGGGGCTGCCACCTACCTGCTTGTTTCACGTTCTGATTGCTCGTGGCAGACCACCTGACCATGTGATAGGCATTTTCGCGACAGTGTTATAGCAAGCCACTGATACAATCGCATCTGATTACCCCACGGGGAGCATAGCGAACTACACAATCCTGCCGGAGAAGCACCTGCTTCCAATGTGGACTCCGCAGCAAGCGATAGTTCATGTTACTGTCCTGTCGCCAAGGGCGCATACGTGAACGAAATCTAGATTTACTTGCTCACCGCCAGTCAGCCACACAAACTGCACAAGAGATGGTGATCTCCTCTTTCCACAACAATCAGCATCTGTCATGCCAGGCAGAAACAGCTTCAACGCATATCATCGGCTCCACCAACAGCAGGGGCGTCGTTTAACGCCAGATGCAGAAGGTCCTTGCCTTAGTATCAACCGCGCAATGTCACTCCTTCCCCACGCTTCTCCACAAACGCACTACGCTTCGCTGGTCACCGTTGATCCCTTGCCCTGATGGAGGCGGAGGCTGCGTGAAGAGACGGCATTCACGGCCCTAGCGGGCGACTGACACGCGGTATCCGGGGCCGACCCGCCTGTGAAGCAAGATGTTCGCTTCGCTTGGACGCCTGATGTGGGGATCGTGGTGTTGATCCTGAATCTGGTGTTTGGAGGTTTGCAACGCTGTTGCCTCTTCGAGTAATCCGTGAAAGGAGGTGCAGAGGAAGACGGCGTGCGTACGTAACGGTATTGTTGGTCGGGTAACGGTGTCCGAGATGATAACGTAGTGCACACTGGAGGATGGTGATAGCGGCTTCGTATGTTGTTCTGCAATATGCATGTTAAGGCGAACTTGAATTTTAGGAAAGAGAGGCTAGTGACTGGTGTCAATGCGATGAGTAGTACCTACTTTGTTGTCCGAATGATTCGTTTCTGATAGTAATTAAGCGCTGTATGAGTATGGGCTGGCGGTATTGATACTTGCTGCTTATAAGACACTTGATACCACGGCCTGTATTGCCTTTTCTGTACATTTGCTAGTACCGGTAGTCAGCAACCCGCCTATGAACAAGATGTGCTCCTGACTTAGATGTATCTGGCTGCTACAAGACACCGCATGGCGTTGTCGTTTATAACATAGTGCTCTGGTGGTATTACAACAAGCATGCGAATCGACGCGCTTACAAGCGAGGGCAGTATTGCACCGCAGGAACATGCAGATCGTGTAGCAAAACATACTTTATCGATTGCTACCTTTCTTGAACGATTATTGTTGCCTTAGCCTTTAAGGACGTAAGGGATAGATAGGTATAGTGCAAGACCATACGCAAACACTAGTGCGAAGCTGAGTCGCTAGTAAAACAAAGTTGAGTAAGACTTTGCACCGAGTGCACATTTTGGTCCTGTTAAACACAAAGGTGTCAAAGTTAACAAGCGGAAGCCGATCTATGGCTATGCAGGCGCCTTGGCTCAGTTGTCATACGGACTAAAGTTCGACATGAAGTGGGTATGCACAAAGGTCTTTGCTGACTGGGTTTCTATCTCCCGCGACAAGCGGAACGGAAAGACACCAGAACCATCCAAGATTGGTACTGAGCGCAGGTCATATCAACATAGGCGCTTGCACAACAGCTCAAGCATGAAATGAACTCCAGTGCTGCGCGGGCAGATATGCGAGACGCGTTCGCCATCGACAAACCAGGCCGGCGTAATAGCGTGCACTCAAACAAAGACCATTAACATCCGAAACAGTACTATGTGGCTCTATAGTACCCGAACGGACAGAAAGAGGATGAGGTCACGAGGGACCAAGCCATCAATTAAGGACATCCCCAGTCTGTCAATCGTGCTCGTGAATACGAAAAGCCCATTATATCAATTGGTAGGCCACTTCCGATCGACCAAAGACTGGAAGCCTCCGTAGTGTACCATCTTCTGTGTTGATCCTCATCACTGTACAGCTGAGAGCCTCGCAGCGGCCCTCGTGTAAGTAACTCTATCCCCGGCCTCAGAAGTTGCGATCATCCTGGCATAACGCGAATCTCCCCGGGGCTAAAGGCAGATCGACATTCTCCCTTCATCCGCGGGCTGCATCCGATTGATTGTTCCCAAGATCACGATCGGGGCTTCGTAGATCCATGAGGGGTTGCTAGTGAAATGCTCTGGGGCATTAGAGCCTGGAGAAGCGCTCAATAATTGCGATAGGAGGTCTATTGAGTTTGTCAAGCGCAGCAATTGCGGACAAGACGACGATCTTTATGCAGACTTGTGGAGATCGTGGTCTGACGTAGGATCGACATGTGACTGGAGATTTGTTCATGTTGGGTGACTGCATTAAAGAAATTTGCAGACCTCGAATTCCGCCATCGGTCCATGTCAACCCCAGCTATGCAGCATTCGTAATCTGTTCCCACCATCTGTGCACTGGGATTGCCACCGAAGCTTGGCGTGATGTACTGGGGTCGTCGCGTCGTTGCGTCTTGTCACTATCTTTGAAGACGACAGACTGACATCGAGTAGTGAACAACATGGCCACTACGGTAAGTCTAGGCAGAGAAGGTCGGATCTGACTAGGTGTCTGTTAGGGTTTCGAGTAGTAATTTTTAGTATATATTCTATAAAAGAGCAAAGGCAGCTAAACTATAAGTGCAAATCTTATAACTATAGTTACCTATTTTTAAGAGTAGAAATTTTACGTAAGCGCTTAACTTCTTTTTATTACTATAAAATCTCTATTATTATTATTATATTTACTATAGTATTTTCTACTACTTTTACTAACTCTAATAACTTTAGCACTAATAAGTATAGAAATATTACTATATAAGAATTAGACTTTAGTCTATACTTTAAGTAATAGCTCTAACTTATGTATACTAAGATTATTAGCTTAGTAAATATATACATTTAATATAAAAAACTAATTATTATAATTAGTATTAAGCTTAAAGTTACTTATATTTTAAGTAAATTATAGTTAATATACTTAAGTAATATTAGATCTTTTATACTTAAGAAGATTACTATACTTAAGGCTTTTTATAAGAATACTATTATTATACTTAAGAATAAAGCTATATTTTCTATACTTAATACTTAGTTATAATTACTTATAAGCTTAAAAAATAAAGTTTATAACCTTTAGAATTACTAAGTACTTAGACTATAAGCTTAAAAAGAGAGCTAACTAGTAGAGAATAAATAAAAGCGTAGAATATATAGAGAATTTAGTAGATTATACTATAGAGACTAGACAAATTAATTAGTGTATTCTAATGCCTAATACCTCTAAAATAATACTAGACACCGGGGGATTGGATCTAATGAGGTGGCGGTATCATCGAAACAAAACCCCTGGATCGCCTTCGCCTCGTCTCGGTCCATGAGCCACTGTCAACGGTGCGGGGCCCCAGAGCCCGACCCGTAGATCAACCGATACTATCGGGTACTGTTGGCTTTGACGCGTAATGGGGTCTTCCAGACTTGCGAAACACGTCAGTACAATGGGCCAAAGAAACCCTGGGAATTCCAGTCTGAAGTCATTAAGCGCTGCAACAGTTGGTGAGTGTCAGGTCTCGCTGGGCGATGAGAAGGTAAAACCCTGGCAGAACTGGTCCCACTGCGCAACAGCTGTCAGTCACCCAGGGGATTGGAAGGTCGACGGGCACTGGTCCGACCGACGTCGCAGATGGCAATCTGCCAGGACAGAGGTTGCTTGGAACTGTGCCTCGGCCGACGTTCGCTGTCTTCACGAGCGAAACGCATGGTGGAAGAACGTCGGCATAACTAAGCTGGAGTTGTGCTGGTTTCGGGTCTAGCACTGTGACGTCTGGAAGGACAGTGCTTCTACAAAAGCTTCCACAAAGGCGTACCTTGCATATCGGAGGTCCAGAAGCAGCTAAGACGTCACCGAGGTGGAATTGAGCGGAGCCACAACTCCAGCGACATGCGTTCCGAGAATCTCCGATGCCACGTTTACCACAGAAACAGCTCCTGGCTCTGCTGGCGTGAGAAATTTCTGTCGGCTCGGCATAGGCGTACGCTCGGAGGAAGCGCCACAAAGCGGGGCGAGCTATCGAAGGGCTAGCAGTACTCAAAAATTTCTCGAACAAGAGATAAGAATAGCGGACCCGATATTGAAATTGCAGCGTAGCATTTGCATCAGTGCTCTGCGACGGCATCGGCGACTTTAAGGGACGTAGTTAGAGCCGTGAAGCAGTTCTCACATTGGCAACAATACCAAGGAAGTAGGCGTCATAATGTTCGGGACCGCCGGTCCGT